TGAACTTCTGGAGTAAGTTACAGTGGTACTTTGATATTATTATTATTCATGTGTAATTTTAGAATTGAATTATTTTTTTAAATGTTTTTTTTTTTTTTTATTAAATTCACTTTTAAATTTTGGGTTTGTGCCGTTTTTTAAAATTCTTTCTACATAGCTTTAATTAGCCTCAAACTTTTTGTCATTTTAGTACTACATAATAAACTGTTATTTTAGAATTTAGTTTTAGTGTATATATATATATATATATACACACATATACATGAATTAACAGATAGAAATTTTGCGTAAATAAAGTTAGAAATATAGAATTTATCTTCTAAAAACAGCATTTTATATTAATAATTCATTTTAATTTTAGTTTAGTAACTTTGTCATTGCTAGTTCTATATAAACACACAATTGTAAAAAGGTGGCCCACTACAATATCGTACTTTAAACTAGATGACGTGTAATGTAGTTGTGTGAACATAAACAACATCTTTGAATGTTACATGCTCAAAGTTCAATACAAAAGGAAGACATTGGCTTTTGCAGAGTTAGCTTAACAGCTTTTCAGGGTTTCATCAGGCGTCATCATTTGTTTCATTATTGCAGGGATGGATTTTAATGTTGTACGATTTGATAACTTTCTCACGCTAATCGAATTGCATCACATGACAGTTCATTTACTGCCCAAGCCTGACCACGTCTAAAATGATAGAAATTAAGCCCAAAACCAGATCTTCAGTTCTAGCGCATTCACCCTACGCAGAGAAGGGCCGTGGCCAGAGGTGCTGTAATGTTATAGAAGAGAAAGCTAAAATGCTGTCTAAACGCTGCTATTTCCACAGAGCTTCTTCTGTTTCTGTATTTGGACTTCCAAAGAACACGACACAGAGAGAAGTGCTTACTGTTTAATGTAAATTACAAGTACAAGTAATGTACAATTACAATGTAAGTTACAGAGAATTATAAAATATATATATATATATATATATATATATATATATATATATATATATATATATATATATATATATATAAATATATATAGCAAGCATTTGACAAAGCACAGCTTCCAGAATCTCTCCCAGTAAGAAGGAGCAGCTCCAACCATAATAGACGAAGCTGTGGATTGTGAGCCACATCATGCAAGAATTTTTATTTGTTAAAATTCCATCACTACACAACACCACAGTATGTAACTGCTGGCCTAAACGGTAAAACAATTTGTCACAATTATCCTGCAATTAATAAATCTCTAATCAACTGATTCACTTTAAACATCAAAAAACAGCTTTGCCCTGATGTCACAGGAATATTTGAATCAGGAGGCATGAAGCCAAATAAAATAAAGCATAATCGCACCAAACAATCTTCTTATTGAGCAACAGGCTGATCTTATTGGTCAATTCAGTAAGCGTGGGAGGGGTCGGCAATGGAGCGCATGCAAAGACAAACGCGTGGAGGAGAGAAGCGCGTGCCGTCCTCCATCCATGAACACACACTGAGCCACTGCCGTCTCCAGAGTCGAGCACAACACACAAACACTGCGCTAATCATTAAGAGACAAGCCCCGTGACCCAAAGGCACACACTAATCCTTCAGCAGAAACAAAAACAGAGACGATAGCTGAACACAGCTCAAATCACTCACTAACTAGTGAAAGTGTAAAATAAATATAGACATAAGCTTCACACTAACCTGACATCCAAGAAAAAAACATTTAAAGAAACCAAGAGTCACCAATAATAATACAACAAGAGGAACTATATAAAGCATGCTCACTACTTATAACTAGTGCCAGACAGAATCTGCTGACATTTTTTGCTATTTCTGCGCATAATTGTGGTAAAAATCTGTGGATTTATGCAGAATTATTTTAGTAGCATCATAACTGCGCAGAGTTACTGAAGTTAGTCCTGCGCGCTTGCGGTTTTTTTAGTTACTTCTTTGGTTAGGTGCGTTAGTTATTGTGTGATTAATTGATAATGAAATGAGAGTGACGGTTTAACTAATTGCACACTGTGATTGACTATGGAATAAAAGGGTGGAGTTGGAGAATGTGTCACACACTGAGGAAGGCTTTGTGCCGAAACGTCTGTTTGTCTGTTATCACCCGTAAAATGTAAGAAAAAGTAAAAATAGAAAACAGTATTAAGCAATTGAGTGCGAATCATTACCTTCTTTTGAATAGGAGTATCATAACTAAAAAAATTATATATGAAATATAAAGTAATACCTTTTACATTTATTTAATGTTTACAATGCAAATCCAATTAGATCCACTTTATTTGGTAAACAAAGCAAGTTCTCTCATATAATATATATACTAAAAGACAGAAAATATAACAGACTGTGTTGTGAATAAATCATATGAATTTTTTACATTAGTCAATAATATTACTGAAATTAATAAAAAAAACTGAATAAATATAAATGCACACACATTTACACAAGTAAATAAACAGAATCAATGATGGGCTAAAAATCTGTGGAAATCTGCAAAATGTTGCGCACTCAGTTTCTGTGTGGGCCTTCTTATAACCTAAATATATTATTACTAAACAACTAAATAGTCTGGCAACAAAATTCTATATCACTGTTTTAGCCACGAGCTTTGAACATGCTCCAAACAAAGTGCACTGCCGAGAAGTCAACACCGATCACAAAAATAAGGCTTGTTTATTCAATTCTAGTTTATTTGAATATCGTTTTTCAAAATAGTTGTTTTACAATCCAAATCTTACAATCAAAAAATAAAGGTTATTAGTTACCATAACCTTATTAATTTCTTATAGAAGTGGTTCCCAAAGTGGGGGTCGCAGGACAATGAACGGGGGCCGTTTGGTTTTCCAAAAATCTAATTCATTTTATTAAATTAATACAATTACCATATTTTAATCGATAACCTATAAATAACAAAATAGTATTTTATAGTAACATTTAAAAAAACAACATGCAAATAAAAGCCATCATACTTTCGATGTTTTGCAACCCCTGGGGTGATTACACTATATTAAAGACACAGCAGACTGATTTTAAGGCACCAGGTTAAACTTTCTGAAATCTCTACGCCACTCATGTAATAAAAATAAGCACACAATTGAGCATGAAGGATGGTCTCTGAGTGGGGTTTGTAAAATTAAACGACAAATAGACTTGGGCCTATTGGCATGCGTGCACCGTTGTGTGCAAGGTTTATATATTTATAACCACCTCAGAGAGAAATGGGGGGTCACTGCCATTGCAATTTTAGGGGTTGCAAGCTGAAAAGTTTGGGAACCCCTGACTTATAGTAACTTTAAATTACCTAGTAGCTAATTTCTAATAGCTTTTAACAGTTGAAGTTATTATATATAAACAGATTATATAGTTAACCTGTAGTTATATACCTGCTAGTTTAGACTGTAAATGGCCTATAAAATGTAAACTAATTGCCTAGTTCATAATCTACTTTATGTTAGTAATCCATTTCACTCCATGAATATTTCAAACATAAGCTGGTATTAACTATACATCTAGTATAACAAGATTATGAATAATAATACATTATATAAATAACTTGATGACAATTTAAAATTTAAAGCAGATAACTAAAATAGGCTGATGCATATATAAATATTGATATTTACTGTTTTGAGTAAATTTCCTTAATATGCCAATAACGATCACATAAAAAATAAGCTTCCAATATGACAGCCAATATATTGCTGTCCTTATAATTACGGACTCAAGGGTAACTGGTATTTTTAGGGGACATTTAAACGACAAAGTTTCCAGCCAAAAACAAAACCTTTTTATGAAAACTCATAAATTTGAAAATAGTCTTTAAAAACAGTAACATCATGCATGTGCATAGTACATGTTTAAGGGAGAGTAGTTTAATGGCATGTGCAAATAAACACAACTTCCCATTTACTTCACATTACCACACTAAGTGACAAGACGTCTTGCACACACAGCAAACTATACATAGACACAAGTTCAGAGTTGCAAATGGCATTCATTAATTTCCAACAGTTACTGTTTACTAACAAGGTAACAATGCCAAATCTCATTTTTGGATGTTTTTATGGACATGAGTAAACGCGGATCACTTTGAAAACGCTGTCGTGTAGAAGTGAAACTTTCGAAATAAAAGAGAAAAAAAGGTTATAGTGTGTGACTATATTGTTGCGTAAACGTAGCTTATATGAACTGAATCCATTAAATATGCAGCATCAAACAGCTTGTGATGCTGCAGTTTCAAAACAGCTTCGATTGACTAAATACATGCAAAAAGATAAAAATATGACTTTCAAAATACAGCAGAGCTGCATATTCAATATAAAAGCATATCCAAAAAACAACAACCTCACAGTAATACTGATTACACTGTGGAGAAATCACAGCAAATGGCTGTCTGTTTTCAGCAGGCCATGTGCTTTAAATAAATACAGTGTAAGCCTGGTTGAGCAACAGGCAGCAGAGAGCGGGAAAGCGCAGTAATGGGTGGCCGTCGCTCCCTCAGATCCACCAATGACTGCTAGCGAGCGGCTCAAAGCAAGGGTGGGTGACGATCCAGTGACACGAGGTCTGTTTCCACACTGCCCTAGTTTCCTGCACGTCTTGTGCCTCAGCTAAATCAAATCCCTTGATTTGATTGGATTTCTATTCCTCCTCCTGAGGGTCTGGCTGTAGGCGTGTGTGAATGAGCTGTGCTGCTTTTATCAGATAGAGCCTGGTTTACGATCTCCTTTTATATCAGCCAAACGAGGTCGATGGTAAAGGGAAGGTGCTCTAATCACACCACAGGCCAGCAAACATCCCTAGACACTAACCCTAGCTTTAATTGAAGAGCTTGAGATCAACCAGAGCAGCACTGGACATGATCTTCTGACAAGACGACTGAAAGAGTTTAGACAGTATGGTGTTGCCCTGCTGTTGGACTGTTTGTGTGTATAAATAGATCACTGAAGGCAAGGTGTGACAGGATGTAAAGGATGATTGGTTAATGCAGGCCATGTTGATCCTACCTGAATGTATCTCAAAGCACTTCTCAGAACGCTTAGATTGGATGTCTTCTTCTCGTCAACATTAGGGATGTTCTTCTTCAGAGTCTCAAAGCACTCCTTTAAATGTGCACGTCTGAGAAAAACATAATAAATTAAGAAATCAATAAGGATATAAGATTAGTTAATTTTCTGATGTCTGCATTCATTTATTGTTTATAAGTATGGTTATAACTAGGGTGCGAATTACAGGGGGGTTTGGGGAGGATTGATCCCCCTAATTAACACTTGATCCCTCCTGAAGGATGTCAAAACAAAACATATAGGGGGTCAGCCCTTTAACACTTAGAAATAGTTCATTCTGATCTCTTTAAATAATAATGTTAACAATTAAAATAATGGATAAAATAAATCTACAATTGACCACCTCTATTGTGAATGCAAAATCACGTCAGTCAGTGAATGAAGGATAATGTTCATTCAGCAGTCTGAAATTGGCAGATCTACTCCACTGATAGACATCGAAAGACTTTTTCTCATAGAATAGGTGTTTGTATCTACATATAGCCTGTTTGTATAGTTTGACCTACAGAAATAGCTGAAAGAGCTAATCAGAGGAAACTGTAGGTCAATAAATATCCCTCAAAAAATGGTAAACTTAAATACGCTGTATTAATAAATTAGATCTAATTAACAATGAATAAATGACTGAAGCATGTATTACACAAACTAATCAAAAAAGTTGACCCCCCCCCCCCCCCTGATCGTCACTGTTTAATTACACTGTAGTTTTAACATATAAAAGGGTTCATACAGACTGTAATGCAATTCCATAACATTTCATTCAAGTTTTCAAAGACTAGAATCCAATTTATTTAATAACTATACATAAAAAAACAAACAATCACATATGCAAAAACACTACATTTAAAAAGTATTATATTATAATTATGATTTTTAATTGATATAATATTATAATTATACATTAAGTATACAAGTCAAAATAGTCATTTTTGAGCAAATAGCTGAATCTACTTTTTGTATTCATTTTTTAAAAAAAGAGATTAACATTTTTATTCAGCAAGGACACCGTAAATTATTTACAAGTGACAATAAAAACACTTATAATGTTACAAAATAAAAGCCTTTAGATTGAAATTTAGAGAATCCTATTTAAAAATGTGTCTTGAGCACCAAATCAGCCAAGACTGGAGTATTTATTTATGAGTATTTATATTACAATAATTTATTTATGATGCGGGATATTCAGCTTTGGCATCACAGGAACATATTTAAAATATATTATGACCACTATGGACTTGTGAATTTTAAATTTAAGGTTTTTAGGCTTTTTCATGGCAAGTACATTTCCTTAATAAATATACAATTAAAACAACAAACAAATGAATACATAATTAAATACTATAATTCTACACTTGTACTATAATACTAAAATAACAATTCTAAAGTTTTTTCTGGTGACACTTCAAATAAAGCAAATTAATGCAGCCCAAGTGAAAAAAAAAACTAAACAATGAAGACCTCACCTGTTCTTTTCAAGCTTATTGTGCACTTCTCTCGTTCCTGCCCTGTAAACACAAACCATACATTCATTAATAACAAGGACTATAGACTACACAAGATATGTTACTCGTATTGAATGGGGAAAAGTGTAACGGACAATATGGTAAATAAAGCCCCACGTACTAGTATAGAAGCTAATCATTGATCGCTTTAGACTTTTAAACACAGTTGTTGTTTAATATTATTGGTGATTCCTAAAATGAAATTCAATCATAAGCTTGGCAAGCACTTTTGGAGAATTTGATGTGTCCCCATTCAGACAGAATACCTGAGCACACTGCCCGACAGTTGTTTTAAAGATGGCCGCTGACTGAAATGACATGCCTTAAAGGGACTTTGTAAATAATAAGCTACAAACACAATGCAACCTCGCAGTCATAAAGGCATTTATGTGATTCAGCTTTAAAAGGTCCTGTGAAGTGCTTCGAAGCGGGCATTTTTTCATTCAATGTTTACTGTAATCTCAACTGAAATACGAAGAGAGGGTGGGACATATAGTGGCCCCTCCCCCTTTTTAAAAATCGTCCAATAGAATTTTGTTTTTGTTATCACCGCTTTGCCTGTGAGAGTGTTTGAGCTCAAGAGCATCAAATAAAAAGCAAATGAGAAGCATCTTGAAAGGGGCGGGGCATGTCAGAAACAAGAGCATTTGATTGGACAAGATTTGATGAGAAACTGAAGTTTGAGGTGACGTGAAAAAAACTGCTGATCCATTTAAGTGAAAGTGACAAACTTTAGATGCTTACATAAGTGTTAGATCTTCTTAACGCCTTGTTTGTCACTGTTTTGGGGCACACTAGCTAATAGATATCCTTAAAACTAACAATACTGATACTAATATCTAAAAAACGTTATTTTAATGTCACTGTACCTTTAAATGTGCTCATAAACAAACTCCTCACTCACCCTCCAGGCCTCTTCTTGCCATCAAAACCACGGTGGTCCTCTGGCGGACTTCCTCTCCCCACGGGGCTGGTCTGAAGCGACGGAGGGGCAGGTTGAGGGAGCAGTGCATGCTGGGATGATGTGACGATGGAGCCGGGGTAGCTCTGGATCTGTTGGGCTGGTTTTGTGCCATTGGACTGGGGCAGTGACGTGGGCTCTGTTTTGACCTGAGTCGGGGCGAGGGGCCGCGGGTGCTGGTTTGGCAGTGGTGAAGCATCTTTTCTGGGCGGCGTGAGACGGGGTGCTGCGGACGGGCTGAGGGAGGTGGTGGGGGGTGGAGGGAGGGCAGGAGGGGTGCTGGGAACCAGCGGGATGGGGATGACGGTGATGGGCATGGGTGGAAGAGGGGGTGGAGGCTGGCAGGCAGGTATGTGTTGACGCTCAGGGCCGGACTCCTCCCTGTAGGGAACGGGGTTCAGCCGAATGGGCTGAGTGTAAGAGTTCAGCTCTGCTCTCCGCTTCTCTGCCTCCTGCTCACGACGCCGCCGCTCCTGCAGCTCATTCTCTTCTGTTGGGGGAAAAAACAAAAACATTTATTATTATTACATTATTAATATTATAACAAATATCATAAAAACAAATAATATCAAATGAAAATGTGTTAGTTTTCATATGGGCTGTATTGATATTTACTGCATAGGTTTCCAGGTGCTTTGGTTTTTGTCATGCGATTCTTTTGTTCCATTTTCCTGCCCTTTGTAAATGTTTATGAGTTTCACCAGTGTTTCTCCCCTGTTGATTATTAGTTCAATCATGTCCCTTGTAATTATACCCCTAAATTTGTTTAGTTCCTGCTCTGGTCTTGAATTGTCACCACCCCATGTCTTTCCTGAGACTCAAGCACTTTTAATAAGTTTTTATAAATAAAAAATCTGTGTATTTTGAAATTCTTGAGTTTCGTGTGTTTGTGGAAAGAGAGAATGTGGCAGTGTGTATGATGTATATTTATTATGTATAAATTTGAGAAAATGTTTATTTATATTCAGATATAAAATGTGTGTATGAGATACAAATTGTTTATAAATTATAAATATCCATGTGTGAAGTCAGAATGATGTTTAACAGAGGAAGGACATTTTCACAATATGTCTAAAAAAAATCTTCTGGAAAAAGTAATTTTTTTCTGGCTGGAATAAAAGCAGTTTTAAATTTTTTAAAAACCATTTTAAGGTCAAAATTATTAACCACTTTAAGCTATTTTTTCCCCCGATAGTCTACAGAACAAACCATCGTTATACAATAACTTGCCTAATTACCCTATCCTGCCTAGTTAACCCAATTCTGACTTCAACTGTATGTCAAAATAAACTTTTATTTTGGTTGTGATTTATCGCGATTTATCTTTGTCCAGCACTAATATTTACACATTAAAATAAGCAATGTTCTGATTTTAAGATTCTGGCTGATAGTTATAAGCTGCTGTCTGTATAAACTGGTAGATATTATAATTACACACCACATTGCATTAAAAAATTATATATATATATATATATATATATATATATATATATATATATATATATATATATATATATATATGCTAATGTGTATATGTATTGTATAATATGTAGATATTGCATAGCATAAATATGTACATGGATATTAACTTTTAAGATATGCTTAAAATAATACTTAAAAAGTGTTACTATTACATTAGCGGCAAATATAATTTTAGCAGCAACCTCAGTTTATGTAGACGAGCATGAATCACATTTTAAACAGTTATTCTATTATATTTATATATAAAATTTAGCTTTTATTAATTTGGCTTTCATTGGTTTTTGTAGCATCATCTTTTCTTTTTTATTTGAATTTCAATAATATTAGTATGCTGCATCATTGTTATGATCAACTCATTTTATTCAGCATTTGCACAAAATTCGCTACAAATCTGTTAATATATCGCTCTAGAACATACATAAGCAAACAGCCACATAAAAATAGCCATCTGCAGAGACAGCAGTAACCAATGTTCAAAAAATAAAAATGCAGAACTATATGCTGCACACAACAGGCAACCTTTGACCTCGAGCACATGATATAATGACATCACATCTAAACTGGGGCCTATATAATGGAAACAGGTCAGCCACAAATCAATAGAGGCCCATAAACCAGCCTGACATTATATCTAGCTCAGAGTGAATTCCTTTAAAGAAGCTTTTTTTGTTTGTGCGTACAGACAAGCGAGGGTTACTGGTTAACAGTGGAGGACAGAGATTACTCAGTTAGAGCACATCATGTTCAGGCTTCAGGCTAATGTTTCCCTGGCATAAATGGAAACACGATGCTCCTCGTCTTCCTCCTACCACACTCAGAGGAAAACTCCAAAACACCACGGGACGGCCTTCTGAACCCCTGCCAAACCTTTAGCATCAATTATACATTCCGCTGCACATCGTTTAAGTAAGGCAGAGGACACAAACTACTTTTGCACTCAGAGAGAAGAGCTACTGTATGTAATACACTGAAGCACCTCCACCGCTGTTCAATAGCAAAGCAGTTAAAGAAGTTACATGTATTTTCAGAGTAATGGCCCATTTACCCTGAGGGGTACAGCACAGTACGGGTCACCTTTATCAGGCTTGGGTTTCTACTGCCAAAAGGGTACCAATGGCACTTCTCACAAAACAGATGCTTTATACACAAATACTTTTGTGTAAATGTTCATTACTCACCTTACTATGAACATGATTTGATAATAACTGCAGAACAATGGTAGTGCAAAACAGTTAATAATAAATAATTAAATGCAACGTATATGAACACATACAGACCCTTACAGTCTCCGATGTTACCACTTACAGAAAAACAACACGATTCACGCTTTACTCTCATCTTTGTCCATTTCTAACAGGATCGATGTCAGAAATGCTTCAATAATCATGTGCACGTTATTATCATCAATTCAAGTTAGAAGTAGAAGCACGGCAAACGCTGAGAAACCCCTTGCACTTTAGACGGCCTTGTAAATAACTACGGGGCACAGGGTAGATTCTGCTTTTCCTAGCTTTGTGGCTGTTCACCAAGACGTTGACAAGGTTTGTTTAAGCTCGGGTCGACCATGGCTCATTAATATATGTATATATTATTACTACGTAATGCCTCAGCTGTGTTTTTAAAAATGGCGCTTCCTTTGTTTTTTTAATCTATCTTGTGCCAGAGCTAGTGATGTATCTCTGTGAACCAATAGCGTTCAGCTGTGTCTCTAAATCTGGCTTTTGGTACCTTTTTGTTGTGCTAGGTACCATTCTGACAGGATACCCAAAAAGTGTTAGGGTCCAGTTCCCTTTTTGGTACCTCAGTACCTTCTGATAATGGAAACAGCCATAAAAGCATACCAAACCATACCACTCAGTGAAAACAAGCCATAAAGGGACTGCAGGCATACTGAACTCAAGCAGTAACATATTGAATCATCTTGAACCCCTCCTCCCATTATGCTCAAAGAGGCTACATTTATCAAATCAAATGCCCATCCACATGGCTATGGATTTAGAGCAATCTGCAAAAGTTTCGTATTCATTTGCCCTTTAGTCCACATGACACTAGCATTTTTGATGGCCTGAATTATCTTTTTTGGTTACTTGGGGCCCTGTTCACACCTGGTTTTAAGATGTGTTTGATCAAACTGACCACAAGTGGATAAAGGACACACATAACTGTTCACACTTAAGTGACGAACCTGACTGATCCTGATCATACAAATTGCAGGAAACTGTATGACATTTCCGTTGGGATCTGCGTTACTTGCAGCGCGTTTCTTTATCTGCACGTGTTGTGAAAATTTGCATGCATGTTGTCAAATTGATGAGAATGTTTTAGAAATCTGTTGTTTTTCTATTTGCATGTGTTTCTTTAACTTGCAGCAGCTTTAGGCTCTCTCGGCCACCATACAAATACAGCAAAAACTAAAATAATGAAAAATATTGTTACAATTCAAAAATATTTCAAGTATTAAATATCATTAAAAATACATTTGAAACATTTTTTTAGCAATACATATATTACGGAAACATACACATATCAAGATGCCCACTAAACATGCATTCAGTCTCAGTATAGTTTAAATTAAAAATAAAAACAAAAAAAAAATTTTCAGGCTTATTTAGAACTAGAATGATTTGAAGACACACATGCAGAAGGATCAGAGTGGAGTCTCAAAACACTAATTAATTGTCAATTTAAGTATTTATAATACCAATAATATGCAAAAAAACAAAATTTTGTTAAAACAAAAATATTTAAAGGAGTGTGGATAACAACAGCTTGAAATCTTTACTTTGCCACATTCAAAATATAATAAAAATGACTTGCAGACACCGAAATGTCTTTGACCAACATAAAACACCATCTTCAAACCATTTCTTGAACAGCAGCTGAATTCAACTGATCAACACCTAGGCTTTGATCAGTTAAAAGTGCATTAAGATATTAGCTCACTCTTGTAGTTTTCAAAGAGAAGTGGTTTTATTGCTTAATTGTCAAGACATCCCCCACAACGCTACTTTTCAGTACTCGTCAAATGACACATGCATAACAGCCTGACTTACATAGTTTCAAATGCATCACCATCAAGAAGAAATTTGCAGTATCCTATTAGCCAAATAAGAATGAAAAAATAAAAATAATGTTTGCACATTAGTTACATCTAATGCTACTAATTATTAATAATCCTCTTATCTCCCATACAGGGTAATATAGAGGCCACAGGTGGCCTAGATCAAATGAAAAAGATACAGGCCTGTGTGTGTTCGTGTCATGGGTCACATTAAGGTAAAAAGCCGGACATCGTGAAATCATGTGCACTCAGAGGATGAGACTTTTAGAGACATTCTTATCATATGTGTCAGAGGAGGAGTGGTGAAAGCACTGCATCCTAATCTCAGCCTATCAGAGTGCAGCAAATCCACCCCCAACCAGTCACCACTGTGCTATTTGAACAGTTCAAGCTTCCTCCTGCTAAAAAGTGGTGTGGGGGGTGGAGCACTAGTTCCTATGGAACTAAATAGGTCATTACCAGAATACACGAGGAAGCACAGTATACATGAAATGACAAGCCTTTCAAGTCAGTGAGTGAAATGTGACCTCACAATAAACACACTCCCTTTCCTGACAGTGGGGCTGTTAACAGCTGATTAATGAGACATTCATCATAGTTCATGCTAGTTATTCACATATGGAAACATGTTTCCTCCAACAATTAAAAAAAGAACAATTAGCTAATTACAACTTTATCTCACAGTTTTGAGTTTGTGCAATTCAGACTTCTCAGCTAAATAAACTTTCAATTGTAAGACAAAAAATTATATCATATTTGTAGTCATAAAATATATATATATATTTTTGCAACTTTATATCTTGCAATTGTAACAAAATACAGTTACACACAAGCAGTTGTAAATAAGTAAATTGCAAGATATAAAGTTGTAATTATATATATATATATTATACATGCTCATATATAAATCTAACATTGACAAACTTTTTGATCTACTTCAAAAGTTG